CTGGGCCCTGCTGAGAAGAGACTGGTCCCCCCCTCCTGACCCCCCTGCAGATCCTGCTCAGCCTTGAGGAGCCCCCTCCTCAGTCTCCTCCTCTCCAGCTGAGCAGCCCCAGCTCCCCCAGCCTTTCCTCCCAGGCAGATGCTCCAGCCCCTCAGCATCTTGGGGGCCCTGCCCTGGGCTCTGTCCAGCAGCTCCTTGTCCTTCAGCCCCTGGGCAGCCCAGAGGCAGTGAGGAGGATGAAGCCGTGAGGAGGATGAAGCAGTGAGGAGGATAAAGCCATGAGGAGGATGAAGCAGTGAGGAGGATAAAGCCATGAGGAGGATGAAGCAGTGAGGAGGATAAAGCCATGAGGAGGATGAAGCAGTGAGGAGGATAAAGCCATGAGGAGGATGAAGCAGTGAGGAGGATAAAGCCATGAGGAGGATGAAGCAGTGAGGAGGATAAAGCCATGAGGAGGATGAAGCAGTGAGGAGGATAAAGCCATGAGGAGGATGAAGCAGTGAGGAGCTCTCCCCGAGGAGGTGCCTCCCTACCTGCTCCAGCTCCTGCTCCGCGTATTTCTGCCGGCTCAGCTCGTTCTCGGTGCCCTCCCGCAGCTCCCGCAGCCGATGGGCCTCCTGCTTGGCAATGCTGATCTCATCCAGCAGCTTCTTCTCCAGGTGGACCTTTTCCACCTCCACGGAGCGATGCTCCTCCTGGGCCTTCTGCAGCCTGGAATGGGAGAGGGGGAGACGTTGGTGTCCTTGGCCCCAGGGCTGCCTGGACACAGCCCAGAGCTGCCCTGCTCAGATCGACCCCGTGCCGAGGTGTGTTGAGGGATCAGCACCTGGGAAGTCCAGGAAGAAAGTTCCCTGTGCCCAAGAAAACATTCCCATGTCACCTGCAGCATCTCAGCCTCACTTCACTTGTTAAACGCTCAGCACGTTTTAATTTTTCCAAAGCACATCAAGGTTTCCTTTAATAGACCTCAAATTAATCTCCATTTCCAGTGTTTTTACAAAAACTAAGGTCTTTAATTAACAAACACAAAAAAAGGGGGGATGATCTGCCTGAGCAGGTATGAACACCCAGACAGGACGTCTCCACGTTCCACTTTAAAACCCTTCACATTTAGACACGTCCTAATCTTGCCTGCAAGTGAGGAGACTCTT